GCATCGAATCGCTACAGAAGGCCTTTGTTCACCCCCCGGAGCCGTGTGAGACACTTAAAAAAAAAAACATTTTTATGGATGGGCGCATTTTAATTAAGTGCTTTTGGACTGATGCATGCAACACCCGCTGAGTGCCATGAAACAGCTTGAAAGACCAAAGACAATTTTTAATATAACTCCGACTGGATTTATCTGAAAGAAGAAAGTCATATACACCTAGGATGACTTGAGGGTGAGTAATTTATGGGCTAATTTTCATTTTTGGGTGAACTAACCCTTTAAATTTTTTAATTAATATTGTGAATTGCATGAAGTGTTTTATGTCTATAGATTTTATTTTAGGCAAGTCATGTTGATTTGAGAAGGCTAAATTGTTCAAACTTATATGCACAACTCAGTCCGCCGCTGGCCGCTTGGTCGTTACTTAAAAAAAAAAAAAACAACTTGAATTTAACAAACATAAAATGTTCCAAACATATTTCTAAATTAATAAAGAGACGTAAAGAAATATAACCACTTTGCCATTAAAAACCAAAACTGGACTAGCCTATTTGCTGCAACAGCAGCTGTGTAAAGGGGAAGAAAGAGAGCAAGAGAGAAAAGACACGGGCTCGGGTCAGACTCGGGCAGAGAATATATTGATAAGCTGCCGGCCGGGCCCATGCAGGGCTCTATTCATTCCCTCGTTTCAATTAATGGTTCCCCCTCGGCTCGGCGGGCCCACAATACACCCGGGCCCATATGCACCTGCATACCCTGCATACAAGACGCTACGCCCCTGCACGTCACAATATCACAGAATACGTAGAGAAGTGGTGCTGTTATTTATTTATATTTTTACAATTATTTAACATATTAATCATAAAATAGCCTAAGTGAATTTATTATATTTTAGTTTTAAGTTATCTCGCGCCCCCGGTTAAGAAAGCATAGGCTATTTAAATGATGTGTGATCTACCAGCATTGCCTTTGCGATCGACCTATTGGGCACCCCTGATCTAACAGAATAATGTGTGTCTAGTTGATCATGGTGAATGAATGTGTCTATTCATAATGATGCTCTTCAGGAGGAGAGGATGTATTTCTGCGGGGTGAACTACCGTGAGGAAAATTACAAGATGCAGGACAGCCAGGAGGAAACCGACATGGATATGCCAGCCGCATCCAAGAGGATTGAGGAGAGAGTGAGGGTTCTGGAGGACGAGGGGGTGGAGCTCATTAACATCCCAGTGCCCAAGTTCAGCGACAGCGACCCTGCTGACATCGTTCATGACTTCAACAGGGTGAGAGCAGATATTTATCTCCCTCTCAAAGCCATACATTCACACACAATTTCATCAGATTCCCAAAAATAAACTACATGTACCAAAATATTAACATGTTGGTTTTCCTTCTCTGCTTTTAGAGACTGACAGCCTATCTGGATCTGCGTCTGAACAAATGCTACGTCATTCCTCTCAACACTTCGGTCGTGATGCCGCCCAAAGACTTCCTGGAGCTACTTGTCAACATCAAGGTAATCTTATATTTGAGCGTCTTCAAAATAGCCATCCTTTAGTCTGTCTCAAAACCTCCTGAACTGCCTACTGAGACACTTGAATAATGCCCAGAAATGAAGTCCAGGTTGTCACCTTGCAAGGCTTTGCAACACAGTTCTAGTGTTCGAGCATGTGACTGTGAACCTTTGGTTGTGTTCGCAGGCTGGAACATACCTGCCTCAGTCCTACCTGGTGCGTGAACAGATGATAGTGACCGGGAAGTTGGAGCATGTGGATCAGCTGGGTTACTTCATCTACGGCCTCTGCAGAGGGAGAGACACTTACAAACTGGAGCACAGAGAGGCCGTTTTTGGTAAACACATGCATCCAACAGTACTTTTGGCGAGTGTCCCATTGTTCTTTGGTTAATTACACACTAACCTCTACAGACAGTATTTGCCAGTTGAAGGAACACTCCACTATTTTTGGGTAACTTCCAATAAGCCTATTTTCAGGCGCTGCGTAATATCATCTTTTCGTTTTCCGTCGGTCTTAGTACATGATGTAACTACAGAAGAGTCAAGTTTTAAATAGGAAAAATATCGAAACTCTTTGGTAATTTTTGAGCGAGATGCTAACGGTCTAATCAGATTCAATGATCTATGCTAAGCTACAGCTAAAAGTGCTACCGCCAGACCCGGAGATCGGCTGAATGGATTCGAAAACGGTAAAACTCAACTGTTTAACTCTAGGGGAGTTGGAAAATGAGCCTATTTTCAAAAATAGTGGAGTGTTCCTTTAAGACTTTTTGTCCCATTTATGAGTCTTTACTAGGGTGTTTTATTTATATTATGTTTTATAATGTTACAAAAGTTCAGATTATTTTAATTTTTTATATATATTTAATGGCTTTGGTTTGAACAGCAAAACAAAAAGACATTTGAAACCCTCAAAACCACTGAAACAAAATAATAGAATGGAATAAAATGGTAAAATAAATGTGCATTTTCATACATCACAGTTCATAGATTTCCAATTTATTATTTTCTATTCACTGTTCTATTCAAACTTCCTATAAGAATCCTGAAATAAAAAGTATCACAAGTTCAACAAAAATATTAAGCATCATGACTGTTTTCAATATCGATAATTAGATGCATTTTTTTTAATGATTAAGTTTGTCATTTTTTTTTTTCATTTTCTATTCCTTTTTTTAAATATCTATATAGTTTAATTTTTATTTCAGTTTTAGTACATCAAGGTAACCTAAATTAAAAGGAGAAATTAATATCGTGATATATGGTTTCTGCATAAATATTAAGCAGCACAACTGTTTACTTGGCAGAAATGTTTCTTTAGCAGCAAATCAGCATATTAGAATGATTTCTGAAAATGTAAAAATGTAGCTTTGTCATCACAGGAATAAATTACATTCAAATGTCACATGTTGACATAATTGTCAGATATCGAGCTCTGACACATACGTGGGTCACCAGCATTTTTCTCTTTTTCACAGGTATCCAGAAGCGAGAGGCTCTCAACTGCCACAAGATTCTCCACTTTGAGAACAAGTTTGTGGTGGAGACTCTTATCTGTGAGCCGTAGGGGGGTGGTGAAGACAGCTGGGTAACAAGATAAAACCACTTTTGACAAATTTCACTCTGACCCTTCCTCTCCTTCCATTAAACCTCTTCCTGTTTCCCGTTAGTGTGCGCGCGCGTGTGTGCGTGGGAGTGTGTGCTGCTCTCAGATTTGTTTCTCTGTATAGCAACAATCAATATTGCAGAGAGAGAATGAGACTGAACGCCAAGAGCAATATAATGCGTAGAAACATTTGTGTGTAGGCAAACATTTGGACCAGTTTCTCTCTCTTAGTAAACATTTTTCTGTGTCTGGGTTTCTGTTAAGCGGGGAGCTCAAAGTCTCCAACAGGGTGTGTGGGATGTAACGGATGAAAATAACTAGTACCAAGTTGACCATGGGAGAGGGAAGGACTCGCAGAGGATAAATGTACAATGAAATCTATAAAAGATGCACTAAATGTTTAGTGTTCATTTAAAACTGAACTGTCACAGATACCAGATTATATACTGGAAATATATTTGACTAGAGATTTGTGATATATGGCCAATTATGACATGTAAGAAATACACATAGAATTGATTTTTGTACTAGTTACACTTTAGTCTAGATTTTTATTTTAAATGACAGATTTTGCTCTGCTGTAAGTTAATACACTGCTAAAACATCCTATAGTAGAGAAGAAAAATCTAGGATCAAATCTAGAGGATGCAAAACACCTTTAAAATCGTACAAAAACAAAAAAAAATTCTAAAGAGTTAAATCAAATGTGTAACTATTATGTCATTTAGGGGCTGCCGAGGTATTGGGTGTAGACTGATGGATGAATTCTGTAAAGATTGTTTCAATTGACTAAAATGTCTACCAGTTCAACTTTATACTTTGCACATAACCCAAAAGGTTTTAATGTTAAACATATTAATACTAATAAAAATTTGACCACTCCGTTTGCTTGTCTTTATTTCTGCTTTTTCTTAGGAAGAAAATCTTTCTGCTTTTTTTAGTACCACTGAGATACTGTTATAATTTGTATGAATATTTTGAGTTAGTTTATATTTTCTGTTTTCATATTAATTTTATTTTAAGTTGTGACAAGTTCATTTCGAGGTCATTGTGATTTTTTTTGTAATTTTTCATTTTTTTAAATTTTTTATATAGTTTATTTTTTATTTCAGTTTTAGTTATTTTAGTACATTAAGGTAAACTAAATTAAAATGAGAAATGTTGCCTTGGTGACAAGCAGAAATTAATATAATGGTTTCCGCATAAATATCAAGTAGCACAACTGTCTTCAACATGGATAATAAATGTTTCTTGAGCAGCAAATCAGCATATTAAAATGATTTCTGAATAATCGTGCGACAAGACTGGAGCAATGCTGAAAATTCAGCTTTGCATCACAGGAATAAATGACATTTTTAAAATCTTAAAATAGAAAACATGTCTTTGAAATAATTATGCCACAATATTACTGTTTTTACTGTATTTTTGAGTGCATAAATGCAGCCTTTGTGAGCATAACAGACTTCGTTAAAAACATTTAAAAATGTGTATGTGTATTTATGTATGTGCATATACACACAAGATGCTGTGCCAGCAAGTGATTGTTTTCCTACATAATTTTCTTCAACAAAAGTGGTTCACTATATTTAATATTCTGAAAATTAAACTGACTGATTTATATAAATGTGAATAAGGTGCAGAAAATTAAGACCCCAGAATGGCATTGTGCATTAGTAATAAAATAAATTATCAATTGTTTTAATTTTTATTTGAAGTGCAATTATTTTAAAGATTTTTTTTTATATGACCGCTTCTAATTTCACTTAATATAAAACCTAAAACATTCTTAGATGTTAAGAGTAAAACTATTACATTTCTCTTAGCAGTGCTCTAAATGACAGATAAATCTGCGTCTGGTTCTTATCCGCTCCAGGAGAAAACCTTATACGACCCTTGACCTTGGAGGAAGCATGAACAAGTAGACCAGATATAGCCAGTTTATTCTCCATCAGCAGGAAAATCACAGAAATGATCAACATGCAAGACTCGATTCACACAGCCTCGCCACAGACCATTCGTTGAAAATAAAGATTTGCACACAGACAAGCGAGTCAGTCACCAATGATCCAGAAACGGTGAAATCGATCGGTTTCACGCACTCACACACACTTACATATAGACATCAAAGTACTCGATAGAAAAAGTCTCTGTGCATTAGTACAGTTTGTTCCACATTATCTGCATGTGGGTACGAGGATATTTAAAACTTGGGCTGGTTTCTGTTTTTTAGTGTCTCTTCATCCAAAAATCAGTTCTTCACATTTTATAAGGTCTCCCTACGATCACGTGCATCTCTTGTGCTTTAAAAATCTCTAGTTCGCCGACTGAGGACTTTCTAACTGTGCCTTTGTTATTGCAGATAAATGGGGTTCTCTTGTCTCTACACCAGTCATACACCAACACAATAGTATTTCTATAATATAAATCAATATATAACATACATATAGAATAGTCTTGTATCTTTAAGTCCACAGTTGGTCAAAGGGATGAATCGGAGGTTAAAGATCACAATACACATGTTCTTCCTGAAGAACACCACATCCGGTGCCGAGATTCAAGAAACAACCTCTCACGTCCGAAAATATGACCATCTACGAACATTTCTTTATGGCACAAACTTCCTGAACAATTTAATAGTGTTTTTTGTTTTTTTTTACTTTTTATCATACATACAAAGAATACACATACTTGCAAGTATTTCGAGCAATAAAATCTTGTTGGAAAGAAATGAATGTAAAGGAATGGTGAAAAATAAGTATTTTAAGGTTGTAGTCGGTCCCAAACGCCACTGAAATCCTTTGGTGTATCCTCCTGCTAAACATATCAAACTGAACTGTACTCAAAATGTAACGGTTTAAAAGAAATCCAACTCCCAACGCAATGAAAAACGAAAGAAAAGAAGCCCACCTGAATCCATACGTGTCTCTCTATTGCCTGGCACCACAATATGCATAAAATCCCTGTTCTGTCAATCTTGGCAAATGCTTTTTTTGTCAGTTGCTGGTCAGTGGACAGCACACGGTTAAGAGGTGATGTAAAAGGAACATGCACATCCAAGATGGCCGTCTTCCACGAGAAAGTACAACTGTCCTGCTAATCAGACCCATTCCTCCAGAGTAGAGACGGATGGGAGCGAAAGCAAAGCGATCACTATCAACACAAGTCAAGCAAACCAACACTTTTCTGAAACATGTTTCTAAGAGGCTGAAATTAAGAGATGAATAAATGTTCCTAATGTATATATCTTACACATTCGAACAGTTTTTTCCCGTTAAAATCGTCGCCACCGCAAGTTCTCAGTCTGTCTGCAACAAGCTTGTGCATGACGTAGTGCAGCTGAATTCATTTGTGTTTGTGTGTGTGTGTGTGTGTATGTGCGCACAAAAGAATGAGGAAGATGATGGACAGAGGAGCAGTAGCGCCACCCGCTGGCTCAGTCAGCGTAATGCATGATGGACTCCACGTAGTTCCCGGGGAAGAGGCCCGTGGTGCCGCTCATCACGCCCTCGAACCAGCCGTCGTCGTTCTTCTTGATGACGTAAATGATCGCCCCCTCCTGGAAGGACAGCTCGTCTTCTTTGTCGCACGTGTAGTCGTAAATAGCCACCACTGATGGGAATGGCATGATAAAAAGAAGAAAAACACAATGTCTGGTTATGTATTTATTGTAATTAAGTGTTACAGCACTACAGACTGTGCTGCACTGTAAATACTGTATATAGCACAATATATCCCCATCATATTGGTTATAGGCCAATATTAGGGACTTTTTTCATTTAGCTTCATAGTGAATATGTAATTATGTATGCCACTGATAAATTTAGTATCATTAGAGCTTTTTACACTGCGTTTAACCCCGGGTTATCGCCATTCTAAAAACTGCTTTAAAAACCTGGGTAAAGGACTGTTCACACAAGTGATTTAGAATCAGGTTTAGCACCACTTTGTGCCCAGGGTCATGAAATCTTACTCTGGAGCAGCGTTAGTATATATATAGGAACATTTTTGTGTTTCGTTTTCATTTGAATTTCAGTTCAAGTTTTAGTAATTTTGATGTGTGTTTTTGTTTTAGTAGTATTTGTTTTTTATGTCTATATAGTTTGTATTCATTTTTATTTCAGTTTTAGTTATTTTAGTACATCAAGTTAAACTAAATTAAGAAATGTTGCCTTGACAGCTAGCTGAAATACAAGCTGAAATACAAACTTTTTTTATATTTAAGTTAAGTTTGTTTCAAGTTTATTTCAAGAAATGTTTTTTTTTATGTTTTTTAGTTTCAGTTGTAGTTTTAGTCAACTATAACCCTAATGTATAAATCTAATTTTATAATTTAAAAACACTAATAATGTAATAACACTATGCCTTTTTCATACTGTACATTATAATGTTGTGATGCCTAAATTTACTTTTAATATTTAAAACTTATTTTTGCCTGTGTTGTATTTTTATGTTAGTTTATGTTTATATATATATATATATATATATATTAATTATTTACTTATTCAATACAATATTCAAAGTGACTGATTTTCATTTTTAGTGTTTAGTTTATGTAGTTTTTATTATATGATTTCATTTAAATTTTGATTATATTTCTATAATATTTATGTTATTATTGGCCACAATATACAAAAAAATTATCAGCATTGGCCAGATTTTCAATACCCTACAAATTAAATAAAAATGTAAAACCCTATACATTTTTTATGGAAGCCCATTTCCACTAAATAAGAAAAAAAATCATGCAAGTGTCATAACTGTGACACAAAAAGCCAAAATTATGAGATACTACTATTGAGATACGACTTTTTGTCATAATTTTGACTTTTTATCTCGTAATTATAACAAAAAGTCAAAATCGTCAGATAAGTCAATATTGTAACAAATCATTATAACAAACTTGTCATCAAGTTTTTATTTTACAATCTCATAAATTTCGACTTTGTCAATTTCAACTTTCTGATTTATCAAAGCTTGATTTTCTTTTTCTTATGTAGCAAAAATGGGCGTCCATAGATTTTCAGTCAAATGTATTAACTGTAAAAAATCTGCATGATTATACATCGTTTTTGTCATTTGAGCTAAACAAACAACATTTATGATAACATTGCTATTATTAATCAATAATTAGATACATTATTGAAATGCAATCATGAGCAACAGTGTTGGAGATATGGATCTTTCTCCATTCAAATCAGTAGGAGCTACACTTGCATGGCTTATTACCTACAATGAAAATAGCTGCTTTCCTAGATGCCCAAACAAGTGTTTTCTGTGCACTGGGAGAAACAGCCTGAAATAAATGCTAAAAACAGAAACGTACCTTTCTCCATATAATTTCGAGGGGCCCATGGTGGGTCTTCTTCAGCGTAGGGGTCACTGTACTCCACCACCGCTGACTCTTCCTCATCCTCACCCTCCTCATCCTCATAGTCCTCTGGAGGAGGCGGGGGCGGGGTTGCTTCCTCAAACTCCACCTCTTCCGCAGGAGGCGGCGGTGGAGGAGCGTCTGAGACTAAAGGGATGAACAAACAATCTCAGATATAAGCTATTTCTGGGGGACTTGGGGAACTTCTGTTTGCTGATGTGAGACAAATGACTCATGCTGGATGGGGAAGTTAAGAGGAAAATGTGGAGTATTACATTTAGAGAGGGTAGAATAACCACTGACCTCAAAACAGCAGTTAAGCAATTTTTTTTGAAAAGGGATCTTCACTAAGGCCATGTACACACTACAGATAAATATGGTCAAAGCTAGTGTTTTCTCCACCACATCTAATAAATTAGACTTTTAACTCTTTCAGTCTGAATTAAATGTTATGAGATGAAACAAACAAATGATTAATCTGACTCTTATGTGCCAGTTCTACAGAATTACTCAAAAAGTTATCACTAACTGAACCTTAAGTCATTACTTTGAGTCATGTCTGATTTGAAATGATTCATATACAGAATGTAGGCTGTTAAACAGCAACAGCTAAACAAAACAATGGCTCTTGTCACATTTCCTGAAAAATTATCCAGCATGTATGTGGCCTAACCAGATGTGACGTGACATCACACCTCACAAAAAAGGTATCTTTTCCATATTAAAAGGTGGGGTAAGCGATTTTTCAAAAACGCTTTAGAAAACTGATTCGGGCCGAGTAGCAAAACAAACTTGTAGCCAATCAGCAGTAAGGGGCATGTCTAC